AAATGGAAAATTTGGACATAAGTCATTTGACCCAGAAGACAGGTGGGGTGTAATGAATTTATGCTATACTTTTCTCTGAGGATTAAGATCCTGGTATTCACAGTTGCTAAGAATACTCATAATTAAGCATAAGATTAGGAGTTTCTCATTGATCCTGAACCCAAATTAGAAATATAGATTCTTAGAATGTCTTGAGAATTTAAATTTTTAGAAATTTTGAATGTGGGGTAAATTATTGCTAGGCATTCAGGAAAGAAGAAATTTTGGACTAACTGAAACATTCATTTAAAAATGTTGTTTACTAAACAAACCAACAAACCAACAAACAAACATAATTTTGTCAGGAAATCATGAGCTGCTTTCAACCACACAGATATTTATAATTTTCAGTAATAGTTTCAAATAAAGAGTTTAGGGCAGACTTGCTGTAACCAAGCAATAGCAATGCTTGACTTTTTCCTCGCATGTCTTATGGTCAGTGTCGTACCTACTCTGTCTAATTGACAAAATGCCGGTGTTTGCGTTCACTAAGATACATTTGCCATTGAGACAGAACTTAAATTGGTTTCTGAGATTTTTAAAAGTGCATGTACAGAAGGAAACATCCTTTGTCTTCATACACTTTGAAAGGAAAGAGTATGTAAAAGCTGTATAAGGATGTATGTAAAATCTATAGAACCATACCTCCTGCGCTTACAGTGATTTTGCCGATTTCCATGGCAAATCTGATTTCTATGGCTTGGATATTTCTCATTTTTACTTTTTCTCATTTCACAGACTTTGCCAACCCTTAAAGATCTGCTTGGAGACACACTGTGCTAATCGGCAAAGTTGGCCTTTCCTGTGCTTCTCTTAAAGTAGCCCATCCAGAAACACTGACCTTTTAGTTTAATAACGGTTTTGAGAAAATGTTCATATCCTGAGAGCTGGAAAGAGTGTTGTGAGCAGGGCTGTTTAAAATAGCGGTCTCCCAGAGGTATATCTTTTCCCTGGCGCACTCGGGGTCAGGCCTACCAGAAGAAATATGTTGTTGCTTTCTGTATTCTATTGATTTAAAAACAAATAACATGAAACTTAGATTTGCTAGAAACCCATTATTAGACTGGTTTATTTTCCTGCCTGGGCTTTGACTTGCTATTTTAGATTTTAAACTCACTATGCTCGATTATGTTTTATCTTTTGTTATTTTAAATTCTGAATTGTAGCTAAAGTAATTACTTTTTCAGCTGTGACCTTGGAAGAGAAACCCAAAAGTTGTGTGTATATGTGTATGTGTTTGTATGTGTGTATGTGTGTGTGTGTGTGTGTGTGTGTGTGTAAGTTTTCATTTCCAGAAGTAGTTGGGGCATTGGAAAGACAGCTGTGCTTTGGACCCTTTACTGACCAAAGTGATAATCACCAGCTTCTCCCTTGGGTATACCTTCTTCAGCGGACCTAGAAGTGTCCCCCCATTTGCATTGCTGCTGATTTTCCTCTGTGGTCCCCCCAGTCCCCGTTTCTACCCACCTGGGCTACCTGGATAGTCCCACAGTTGTCTCCTTCTGCTTTTCACCTCACCCCACAGCAGGTGGCAGAGAAAGAGGGTGTAGAGAAAGAAGGCATTCCTTGAAGCTACTTTTTTTTTTGCTTCTTTGCATCTGCAGTCTTTCCTGCCTGGCTTCCTTTCCATCCAGCCAGCTGGTCTCCCTTAGGTAGTGGGGTTCTTACTGTTCCATTCCAGATTGATCGCATCATAATAAAAAGTTCAATTCTGCCCTAGCTGGTGCTCAGTGGTTAGAGGATTGGCCCACACTAAAGAGTCCTGGGTTCTATTCTAGTCAAGGACATGCAACTCAGTTGTGCATGCAGTAGGCAACCAATCCATGTGTCTTTCTCTGTTTCTCCCTCTCCCTTTTACTCTCTAAATATCAATGGGAAAAATATCATTGGATGAGAATTACCAAAAAAACAACTCACTGCTGGTTTCAGTTTTTCTCTTGGTAAGAAGCCTCTCTGTAAGAGGCACAGATATGAGACTATATTAGCAGATCACTTAGCAAACTGATATCATTGCTTCATATTTAGACCTGGTACACTGACATCTTTTGAAGCCTAGCTCTAATGGGCTGAATGGAATTCAGTTGCATTGTGATTGAGAATTTGAATTTTGCCAGAAAAAATTTTTGTTGTGGCAATTTACAACAATCTAGGGCAGAGATTGGCAAACTGTGGCTGGTGAGCCACATGCGGCTCTTTGGCCCTTGAGTGTGGCTCTTCCACAAAATACCACGTACTGGTGCGCATCTAGAGTGTGATTGAAAGTTCTGGCTCATATGCAGAAGTCGGTTTTCAGCTCTCCAAAGAAATTTCAATTGTTGTACTGTTGAAATTTGGCTCTGTTGACTAATGAGTTTGCTGACCACTGATCTAGGGGCAGTGGCATGATTTTACAGGTACAGTTTGGCTGTGTATTGATCCTGATTGGTCTGTTGAACTTCAGAGAATAGTTTTATCAGATAATACTAATTGATTAAGTATTTGTTTCAATTTTTGCTGATAGAGTTAGTAGTTCTGAGCACCTCCAAAAAGTGAATAGTCATGTTTTTTGCTTGTTTATGGGAAATAGATGAAAATGTGAAAATCATTACCTTATGGGCTGTGTAATCTAGAACTTGCAGCTGGCAGACACTGATGTAACCCACCAGTCCTCCTTTTGGATGAGGAAATCAAAATTCAGGTAGATTAATTGATTTATGCAAAGTTCAGCTAATAGAGAAACAAAGAGTATTCAAACTCTTTGCTGAGCTGTTACTAATTTCACTTTTACTTGTATTTTCTAAAACTTTTAATAATGAAAAGTTATAAGCTTTGCCTGAATGCAAACAATTCCCTGTTCTAGATTTTTTTTTCTCCTTGATTTTGTGTGACCTTTTCAAAGCAGAGATGTGCATCTCTTGTACTACAGACTGTGAAGTTGGAGAGAAGCCAAACAGCAGCATGAAATATATATAGTTTGAAGGGACCCTCGGGAATATCCATTTGAGAAAACTGCTGCCCAGTTAGTTTACCAATAAAAATTACTGTTTAGTGTTTTTTGGTATATTTGCAGAGTTGTGAGATGACTCTCTCACTATCTAATTTTAGAACATTTTTAACATCCCCAAAAGAAATCCTTTCCGTAGTAGCTGTCACTCTCCATTGTCACCTTCCTGCCACTCCTGGCAACCAGTCTAGTCTCCTTTCTGAGTCTATAGACTTGCCTTTTCTTGATATTTCATATCAGTGAAAACATACAAGTTGTGTCCTCTTTTCACTTAGCATGATGTTTCAAGGTTCATCCATGTAGTAGCATCTGCCAGTATTTCATGATTTCCATGGCTGAATAATATCACACTGAATGGATATACCGCATATTGCTTATCCATTCATCAGTTGATGGGCATTTAGGCTGTCTTCATTTTTGAGATGCTATGAACAATGTCATGTACAACTTGTTGTATAGACATATATTTTCAAGTTTCTTGAGTACCTAAGAGTGAAATTGCTAGGTCCTGTGGTCACTTTGGTAGCATTTTGAGGACCTGACTATCTCTTCTCCAGTGGTTGCATCATGTTATATTTCACCAGCAATTTATGAAGGTTCCAGTTTCTCCACATTTTCACTAACACTGTTATCATCTTATTGATTATAGTGGATTCAAATTGGTGTATTACTGCAGTTTTTAATTGCATTTCCCAAATGACAAATGTTGTCCAGCAATTTTCATGTGCTTATTACAGTTTGTAACACTTCTTTAGGAAAATGCATATTCATGTCTGTTCCCATTTAAAGCTGTCTTCTTATTATTCTGTTATAAAAGTTCTTTGTACTTTCTGGATACAAGTTAATTGTCAGTTATGTGATTTGCCAATATTTTCTCCCATCTTATGGGTTGTCTTTTCACCTTGATATCCTTTGATGTTGTTTTTAGATAGTCCTAAAGAAAAACATCCTTAAGACCTTTCATGTATCTTCTTTGTTATTGCCCAATGTCAGCACAATTTAAACAGGCTTGTGCATATCTTATTGGAACTCATTTTTTTGTCTGTGCCCTGAGACAAGGCGCTTATAAATCATCAAGTAGATGTTGTTGCAGAGCAGACAGTGCTGTTTAGGTTTACATCTAATATGCTACTGTTTGAAATAATAGGTCCATTGTGTCTTCCTAGATCCTCCTATGTGTTTCTGGTGCTTTCTTGGTCATAATTGTGGGTAGTGTATTTTAGTGAAGAGGAAATAGTCTCTGCTTATTATTTTTGTGGAAGGCTCTGAAGCAGTCTGTAAAATTTATCTATTTTGTTCGCTATTGTAGCTATAAGAATCTTTACAAAACACATCGTACAAAATTTTCTAATTGTAAAGACCAGATGTTTCACATCAAGTCACCAGGTCTATAAGAGGCTCCAGCCAAGTTCTCAGCACTGTTCTGAAGTCTCTCTCCAGTTGCTGGCACTTGAATTTGAATGACATGTATTCCAAAAAATAGGTTTCAAAATGTCCACAAATGCCTTTTTCTCATAAATTATGGAAAAATGAATATAAGCACAAATAATTTTCTTTCTGTAATAAGTGACTTTTAAAAAATGTTTAATTATCAGAGTGAGAGTGTTTTGGTATAATTTCCTTACATCATCTCTTCCCTTTATATGTGATTGTTAGATTTTAGTGATAGAATATTCTTTTAAAGAATTTGTACTTAACAACTCAGTCCCCATGGGCAGTAAGGAGCTCCTTGAGCTTATTCTAAATTTTGGCAGGTGTGGAAATTTCTAGGTCACCAGGGAATTCTTGATTAAGTTACTGCTGAAATGCACTAATTGGTCTTTTCCATAGTGCTTAGATGGTCCCAAGGAGACATTGGCCAGCTGGCAGAACTTTGCCCTTTAAGCTCCAGTTTCAGCTTGGTTTTTGTGAGTATTTCCTTGTTTTTTGTTTTTAAGAAATCACTAAATCATCTCCTTTTACTCTTTACTGATTCCAGTTTCTGATGAAGAACTGAAGAGAAGAGTAGCCGAAGAACTGGCCCTGGAGCAAGCCAAGAAAGAGTCTGAACACCAGAAACGGTGAGTTTCCTGCCAAGCAGGAGATTTGGGTCGACTTGTTATAATTATTAAGTATTTTTAGAGAGGAATAATTGTAGTAAGACTCATTATTTGTGTTTGGCTGAATTTCAGAATGTGCCGACATGTGAACTTGGCCATTTTCGGTTTTGGATTGTGCTTGTTAAAGCCTTAGGTTGCCCTTTCCCCAAACTTGGTTATAAGTGTCCATTAAGTCTTTTGTGTGATTCTTTATTCCACGAATACTGACTGAGCTCTGTTTTCTCAATAATGTGAGAAGTAGTTCTTGAGGATTCTCCAGGAATTTCACAGGCTAGTTTCTTTCAATGAATGTAGTTAGGGTTGAAAATTATATTGTCTACTGTGGTTATGAAGGTTAGCAGTATTGTAGCTATTAATGAATGCCATGTATTATCCATAGTGCCCATATTAACAAATAGCACTAGTTAGTAATATACTCACTTAAAAAAAACTGAAGATATATCAGACATATGTCATGTTGAAAAATCATAATCTTCTATAATTCCATTCAATGGAGAAAATCAATCTTGAATGTTTTATTCCTCTAGATTTTTTCTATATAAATACTACTACATTATTTTTATCATTATTAAAACTACTACTACTACTATACTACTGCTACTAATAGTTAAACAGTTCATTAAAGTGTTCTTGTAATAGTAGAAAACCAGAAGTAATTCATATGACCATCATAGAGAACTGGATGACTGAGTTATGGCACATGTCTCAATACAATACTAGATAGTCAAGTAGATCCTTATATGCTGATTCAAAAAGCTGTTGAGAGCTATAAACTGAAAAACATACAGTATTCAAAACAGCATAGATAATTTTTTTGGGGGGTAAAAGTACCACTTTTTAAAGATCTTTGAAGTACAGTTATTCATAAAAATGTGCCAATACTTTTTAATCTAAGATAGAGTCAAGTGCTTTCCATCTGTGCTACTTCTGAAATTTGCATACAGCACAGAACATTACTGTTATATGATCATGCAGATGTCTTTCTGCTGTGAGCACTAAGCACATGCCCTCCACCAGTGGATGCTTAGTGTGTGCTTGTTTTTGTTTTGGTTGCTTAACTGTTTTGCTTGGGCGAGTTAAATGTAAAGAATCTTTGAGTTGTATTCTCGTGTTCAATGGCCATAGGTCCTTCAACATATAATCAATCTAACCTCTTTGGGCCTTAAATATTTCATCTCTAAAATTTCTTTTTTGATATGTGTTAAGCTACCTCCAGTTTGCTTTTGAAATGTATGAAATAGAACGTAAGCTTTAGATTAAGACTGCCATTTTCTCCAGGAAATAAGTTTAGGGTTTTAAAAATCATGATGTAGTTAGTGTACTTCTGTAGTTTTCAACATAGCACTTTATATTATTTAATTGGGTTAGGCTGATGGAGTATGTAATTAGATGGTGAAGTTCAAATATTCCAAAAAATTCAGACCATTTTCATTAAGAAGCAAAGAAAATCAATATATTATGGTAGAATTTCTTATCTTTGAAATTTTATTTTAATTTTGTTTTAATAAGGAGTTTTTTTTGGGTTAAATTCATGTTTACTTTGCTTATTATATTTCACATAGAAATTTTTTGTCTTTCTCCTTATGGTACAGGATTCTTATAATAACTCTCACTCTAGTGTTTTCTTTCTTTATTCTTCCTTTTTTATTCAGCTTCCATTTGCTTTGCCTTGGTCTGTGAGAGGTAAAGGGCAGATTAGATGAATAAAAGGTGCCAGGGAGAGCCAATATCTCAAGTGGACTGGGGTTGGCAACCTAGCTGTATCCTAGACAAATGACTATTGATAAAGAATTTGTTTTCTGTCACCTTTAAGGAGAACAGAGGGTTTCACCTTTTTATTATTATTTTTTTCTTTTAAAAAATGTTTTATTTGAAGCCTTCTTCATGAAAACTTCCAACTGTCAAATCTTGGCACAAATTGTGTATTCATCTAGGTGATAGTTTTTAAGAGAATCAATAGCTATTTTTTTTCTTTTGTACCAGAGAAGAAACTTTTTGAAAAAGCATTAAGAAAGTTTTGTGTGCAGTCTTTGCAAAGTAACTTTTTGGTGTCAAGGCATTTATACATTACTATAATAGATGCCTGGTGTGCAAAATTCATGCACGGGAAGGGAGGGGGAGAAGGAAGGGGTCCCTCAACCTGCCTGCATCCTCTCACAATCTGGGACCCCTCAGGGGATGTCCGACTGCTGGTTTAGGCCTGACCCCACAGGAATCCCTATGGGATTGGGCCTAAACTCACAGTCGGACATCCCTCTCGCAATCTGGGACTGCTGGCTCCTAACCACTCTCTTGCCTGATTATACCTAACCCCCCTGCCTGCCTGCCTGATTGCCCCTAACCACTCTGTCTGCCTTCCTGTTTTATTGCCCCTAACTGCTTGCCAGCCTGCCTGATTGCCCCTAATTGCCTCTGCCCCCACTGCAGCAGCTTCATTCAGAAGGATGTCTAGCTGTCCAGTCTAATTAGCATATTATGTCTTTATTATTATAGATTGTATCTGTTGCTTTAATTGAATGAAGCCTTGTAAGCAGTTTTAGAGGGTTTCTTGCACCACTGTTTCAGCAATCCTTGTGTCATCTATACATACCCCTACTCATTCTACCTATGTGGTGAGTGATATGGAGAAGCCGTAACATTTCTAACAGGCTGGTGAACTTTGTGGCAGGAAATACTCTGAAATGTCTTTTATTAGGGTAGCTTAAATAAGAATCTTGTTTGATCAGAATTTTTTGGTTGAAAGATTGAAACTTAACTCTGGTTAACTTAGGAAGCAAGGGGATTTTTAGAAGCATTTTGGAAAACTCAAAAGAATCAAAAGGAAGACTAGAGAACCCCAGCTAGGGAAGAACTGGTTACTACTAAGTTACAACTAAGAAGTACTTATTCAAAAGAAAATCAGGATAAGCATTCCATAACAAAAAGAAAAATATGTTGGGTGGCTGAATTTCATTGAATTGAAGATACCATTTATTATAAGAAGCACTAGGAGCCTGTTGCAGGAAGATTCCTGTGCACTAGCGAGCACTGCTGCTGCCCTCTCCAGTCCGCCCTGACAGCGCTTTCCCTCTTGAAGCCGCCTTGCTTTCTGCTTTTCCTCCCTCTTCCTTCTATGTGGTCTTTAGTCTTCACTCCTCCCTCCCTCAGCGTATGCAAATTAACCGCCATCTTTGTTGGGTTACTTAGCATACTCACTCTGGTTGTTTGTGGGTATAGCAAAGGTATGATCAATTAGCATTTTTCTCTTTTATTAGTGTAGATTGTATTTGATGTACCACAAGAAAAAAAATGCTGCAAATTGTAACACAATAGTTTATCTCTTAGAATTTTCTTATTGAAAGATCTCATTAAGAATGACTGATTTTTTTTTTTTTTTAAAAGAACAACACCTGCATATTCAAAAAAAGAAAAATATAACAAAAGTAAATAGGTTAAGGCACTGTTCTCACCTGGGGGAGATTTTTGTCCCCCGAGGATATCTGACAGTGTCTGGAGACATTTTTGGCTGTCACAACCTGTCAGGTGTTATTGTTATTTAGTGGGTAGAGGCCAGCAATACTTTTAACCATCCTGGTGTACAGGACAGTTCTCACCACTGCCCCTGCCCAGAACAAAGAATTATCTGGCTCAAAATGTCAATGTGCTGATAGTGAGAACCCCAGGGTTAAGGTGTTCTTAAAAACCAGCTCACATTGGGTCTAGTTCTTCGGAATCACTTCTTGACTCAGGGTCTTGCTGTCCTTCTTTTTCCTCCCATCGTATTCTGTGCCATCAAAACCTTGGCGACACAGTGTTCCTGAAATGATTGCTCCACTGCTGTTCCTGGGATTTTTCCAGGCTGCTGACACCAGTTTTTGCAAATTGTGATGCTTATGCTCAAGTTCTGACAACTGTGCAGGACAGCTGCCTGGCATACAGCAGTGTAAGATGCTCTTAGGCATGTGAAACATAGAAAAATATCGTCCTAGGGCTATATTTGGTCAATTCAGTCTAGGTACACTCTGGACCATACATTGGTGGGATTGGAAATGACTTCTTGTGTGTCTTGCCTTACTCCCATCTAATGCAGAAGCCCTTTTACAGCCTCTCTGATTGGTAGTGCCACATTCATTTAGATCCCATTTAAAGTCATTTAACCTGAAGATATATCATTAGGCCATTTAAAATTAACCTGCATTCCTTTAAGACTCCACTCTTTACTATGCAGATATGCAGTTGCTTTAAAGTAATTTCCTGCTAGTCCACAACGATGGTGCAGCTAATTGTAAAGCACTGTGACTGTATGTGTTGTATTCTCATTTCTAAAAACCATTTATTCATGAAATCTCAAGTTATCTTAGATCTGATTCTGTTTTATGAGACTCTTGAGTGATTTGCTTAGTTAACAAAACCATGCCCCAAAATATCACTGACATAATATTAGTACATGCACTAAACGTTGAATTTAATTTGGAATTACAGTTTTGCTTATCACAACATCTAATGGAGGGAATAGTTGTTTGGTGTATTGGGAGTCCAGAGTAAATTAAATGCTCATGTCAGCAGTCTGTTTTTGCTGTAACACTCTATGGTGTGTTTTGGATAATAGCTGACCATATTGTGTTGTAACTATAGCAGGCCAATATAGCAGGGACATAATGTGCCCCAGTATGAGTACAGACTTTTAAAATGTGATTTGCTTCTCTCTTGTGCCTTGCCTCCAAAAGTCAGTCTTTGACAGCAAGAATAATGTGACTGCTTCTGACCTCTGACCTTTAGCTTTTGAATTTCACCTCTTTACCCATAAAAGCAAGTGAAAATGTTTCAGTTTTAATAACTTTTCTTCAAGAAAACAAGAAGGGGAATACCTTCTTGCTATTGTAAGTAGCTACACATCAACCAAGATTACTTGCTTGCTGTTTTTAAATGGACAACTGATGAGATTTCCCCCACTTTAAATTACTTGGATAATTACATTAGAT